AGTTTCCAGACACAACTACTCCTCTCATTTTTCACATGCATAATTTTGCAAAGAAAAACCTGACATAGTGGCTTCTACGCCTCCCGTGGCGACTTTTGATTTTCCGCTTGATTTTTAGCACATAACAGGTGACGCTGATTCAAACATTCTTTTCCTCCCTTTCGAACTTCAAAAATTTTCGTCGGCACTTTTTTGAGTGGTCCAGGTGACCAAAAAAAAAAACAGAAAAAGAATTCGCCCACTGTTTCTTCGTCCTCCCATTACTCTCGTATCTCGATGGAGGGCTAGTGAATGCGAGGAGGTCGGAACGAGACAGATGTCAGAATGTCATAATATACGCAATATTCTAGAAGGCATGTCCAAAACGTTTTCCCAGGACCGTATGCCCTTTTGATCTATGGTTCTTTTGAAATTGCTCCTCGGAGAAAGGGAAACCGAGAAGCTGTGTCTTTCTCCGTGTATGTGTGGATCCTTGTATGTTTTACAAGAACAGTATAAAAGATGAGAAAACCACCAAAGAGGTCTGAGAAGGCTTTCAAAAGAGGACGAGAGACGCTTTCCCCTCTAAACTAGTCTTCTCGATTCTATAAATGCAATACGGTGGAGATGGAGGGGTGTCAAGTTTCCATTCTTCTCCGCTTTTAGTGAAAAGCATCACTTACCTGATGATGGGCAGTGTGCGCATTATTTCGAGAAACCAAAATATCAATTCTTCCCCCCCGCCATCCCAACCCTTCTCATTGCCTTCCAGTCGCTTCTTTTTGCGCGCGAAAGTCGAGTGAGAGCCACTCCCTAACTACATATAAATGTAAACATTGTCGGAAAAAGGATCGTTTACATGCCTTTTCCTAGTCTGGGTGGGCCGCACCTAAAGATTCCCCCCTCCAGCCACTCGATAGCGTTCAGAGAACAATGTTTTTATGAGGCCTTAGTTAGATTTCGGATCCTTTTGGTTTTTTTTCTGCCACTTTTTGTAGCTTCAGAGGATTTGGAAGCCAGCAAATATACATGCAACGGATACACCAAACGCTAATCAAATTTTCTGTTGATGATGCACCCGAAATTCGATCAACAACAAAATGCACTTTTCTAGTGTGTTCCCTAGTATACTGTAGTTCTCTAGAAATCATATTTTCTGCTCGAATCGGCTAATTACGTGTGAACGTCTTTCCAAGTGACAACAATTATAAATATTGTGAATAGTGGATGTGTGCGGTGGCAAAAAGGAAACGAATAGCAATTGTGGAGACCCTCAGGCCCACTACTATTCAATCATGTATGCTCTTTATGCTCCTCCGAGTAGGGCAGGTGTCTGCAAAATGTTAAATGACTATATAAATAGAATAGGCATCATCTGCTACTCCCCACTATCATTAAGGGATTGATCTTTGACCAGACCGCCCATGTATTGTCATCCTAGAGAGAGAGAAAATTCACTGAAACGACGTTTAATGGAGTTGTCTTAAATATTTCATCTCATCCAGGAGAGCTCGGGTTCCAGAAGAGCTCTAGGAGAGCCCAAAACTTGATTCTCCACTTTGTCTTCTCCTCTGCTTTTTGTCGAGTTTTGCTCTCTCGTTTTTTGCCTCGTTTCTTTCTCCTTATTTTTCTTATATTCCTCGACTTGCACATTTTCTTCATTGGCCGTCTTCTGCTTCTGTTTCTGCTTCTTCCTTTCCAATCGGTAGAGTCTATGTATGTGTGCGAAATTTAATCAAGCGCGGCTCGTTTCTCACTCAGAGAATGCAAAACGCTTTTCTGAATGAGCTGTTGCACCCGGACATTTATGGAAACTTTGGTTGTGAATAAAAGTGTTGCAAATTAATATGTAGGTGTTGCTCTTGGAAGGCTCTGGAAACTCTGAGAGAGAAAGCGACGGAAAGGGCTGCATGTCGGATGAATTATACACATGGGCGGAGCGCAGTGAGTGGTGGCTGGGACAGATGTAGCAAAGACGAGTAAAGAAAAAAGCTCAACGGTCATCCAACACTTTTTGCTCGAAATGAAGAAAAACGAGGTTTAGCTGCTAAACCGCTGTCTTAAACTTTTGAAGCCTAGAGTTTGGTTTTTGAAATTTTAAAGTTATCCGAATTTCAAAGAATTTGGAATTAAATTTTGAAATATAGAAATCCTATGAATTCCTATTTTAAACATTATACACCATTTTTGGATGTAAATCTTTAAAATTTCAAATGCAAAAATTCAAATTTGTGCTATAAATCAAAAAAGTCTGAGAAATTAGAAATTCGGAAAACAAGTCATGATTCATTAATGCATGTAAGAAATATCTAGAAATTTCTCGAATTTTCAATGGCAGGTTGAGATTCATTTCTCCCGTCTGGATTCGAATAACTTTAAGGATCTTATGGCTCGTTTTCCTGATTTCAGTTCTAAGACTAACTTTTGCAATAGCCCAGAAAAGACTTTTTTGCTAAATATAACTTTATAAATGCTTTGGATTACTGTTTTTTTTAACTCGAATTCTGGAATACAACAACCTCTTTCTCATTTTCTGATCTCCTTTTTTGTCTTTCTCTCTTTTTCTCGGACCAAATCCGGGTCCTATAATTAGGCATGACCTTTGTCACCTCTCCATGATTGAGAAGAGGCAGCAGGTGGTACCATTGGGAACTTGACCCTCTTCTCTCGGTCATCCTCTTCCTCTTATTCCTTTTTTGGATACAGACCTCTTTTTCCTTTCTTCTGACGTTTACAACTCAATTTTCCTTATTTCGCTTAAAGCCTCGTATATTTTAATCGGTTCTTTTTTCCACAGTAATTGACTACCTTTACCTCTACGCCAAAAAAAGCAATAACAACAACAGCAACACCATTTATTCAATTTTCTCTCTCTCTCTAATGATCCATATAATACAGTGAAGTAGTGAGTTGGATAGTGGCTATCTAGCGAAAGAAGAAGAGGAATATAACGATCCTCATCGTCGGAGGGCGCCACTCAACGAATCTTATTCTTCTGCATTTCTTCACTCGCCCTTCCCACGACGTCTTCTTCTACTTCTTCGCGCCCCTACTCTTCGATTCTCCATTATTTATTCAGTCACTTGTTTGTCGACTACGACAGGAAAAAAGGGAACAAGACTTTATGGAGGTACCAGCCCGAATTTCATTTTAGTTCAGTTCAGATTTTTTTTTGCCAAAAAAAAAATTTTAAAAACGTCCACTTTCAACTTTTCTGCTTCTATTCTATTTTTTTCCGCTGCTCCACATCAACATGATGGGGATCTTTCGGAGGAGTCTCTGAAGGAGTCTCAAGAGAGCATCACGCCTATTCTAAACATGTTTTGATTGGCCTGCCGACAAGAACCATGAAAAACGGGCACACTTCTTGACACTAGTAGCTCTCCTGGGAGTTTCTAGGGAGGACGTATAGGTGATTGTTTACGTTTTCCGTTTCTCAGATCCTTTCTAGATTAGAAAAAGAGAGCCACTAGTTGTGTTGGTCGGACGAGAATTGCAAGGAATTCGGTTATTCCAGTTCATTTACACACACTTTTCCAAGTCGTTAGGCGGTAGTGCATGAAACAAAGAGGCATTACAATTTCGCCTCATTTTGGTTCTCGAAATAGTAAGTTTACAGCAAATTGTAAACTTTTTCTTCAAAAACAATCTTTAAAATTTTAGAATAACTCAACTACTTTTCCAATAGAAAAAAAAACTGTTCCATTTTCATCTTTTGTACGTAAACTGTGTGGGTGGTCGGAGAGATGCAACAAAAAACCCCTAACAAGTGGAAGAGAAGAAGGCCACTCACCTTGAATCTTCCTAATTTTTCTCTTGCCATCATCACAGCCTTTCTACCAAAACCCACCAGTTCGGTTCAAAACAGCCGCCTCTCTTTTTCTTTTAAACCGCAATGTGTGTGGCGCCTACCATTCTTGACATTTTGACGCGGCGTCTTCCACACATTCTCTATCACAAGCGAATTTCTAGCCAATTTCCTATTAAGCCATCGCCTTTTTTTCCCACCAACCCCAGCGGGGAGCGTCATGATAATGACGGGAAAGTGTTTCTTCACCTCTCGTTTCCCTCTCTCCCCCCCCCCCCCCCAATTTCAATTTCTCTTTTTATTTTAAACTCCGCCTACTTTTCCACTGGGTGCCCGCAATTCTATGTATTGGCGTAGTCAATGCCAAGACATTTAGCTTTAATAATTTTTCTAGGGATTTTAGGATTTGGGTTACTGTAGTAGGTTAGAACTACAAGCCAATTTTTCAAATTGTACCTATTTTCAACGGAGTTTTTGAATGAAACAGAACAACAATTGACACAACATTAAAGCTTTTTTAGGCTTAGTAGACCTGAAAATTTACAGTCTCATAAAAATTTATTATAATTCTTGAAAGCCTAGATTGACAATTTTAGCCTGAAAATAGCTAGATTTTGAAAAATGGGTACTGTAGTATTTTTCCAGAACAATTTCTTTTTTTTTAAATTTAAATTTTTATGGAAAGCGTCTGTATTTCAAAATCAACAATTCCGCATATATTCCGAATCGGTTCACAGAACACAAAATTCCAGAATACCAAAAGCCACACAGCTCGTCGGACGGAAAACAAAAGAATAAAATTCTGAAATTCTGAGTAGAATTTGTCTGAAGAGCCTTTCTTGTACACACACGAAATATAATAACTCGGTGGGGTCCTCCGGCCTCCCACGTCGCTCGACCTAGGGCCTTCATCTTTGCGTGTTCCGAACCCACTTGGGCACAGAATAGAAGACGTCGTCGGCCTTCTTTTCTTCTTCTTCCTTTTTTCCTTCCTTCATTTCTCCCACTCCTTCTACTTTCCATCTTTTCGCCGTCCTTGTCTTCGTCATATATATATTTTTTTTTGATTCATTTTTTACTTCTTAAAATTTTGAATTTCTCAAAATCTCAGTTTATGAATCCCACGAACACGCCTAGATCTTATCATATTTCATTTTCAGAAGCATCCAACTACCTCAACTTGGTGGATAATCAATATACGGGATTACAAACCATGCTTGACTACAAGGGAGTAATGTAAGTCTTGGCAAACAACACTAAACGGCTATCCGATGTCGGAGAGAGAGAGCAATAAGAAAAAGTCAACCGAGTAGCACTTCACCCCTCGGAGCATCCATACCCCTCGGAGCATCCATATCCAATTAGAAATGTAATCTCCGCTCGTTAAATTTAGTTCCTCATCTCATTTCGTTTTGTTTCGTTTCACACTCACTAACATTTTAAAAGTGGCCGGCGTTGAGAAGAGGCCTCGGATTCAGGAGGGAATAGATGAGCGGCTGGTGTTTGAATGTGTATCAAATTTGTATACTTTTTGTTTCTGAAATGGAAGAAAGAGAGTAAGAGGAGCGAGAGAAGTCAGTGGGCACTTGGCGCATAATCGGGGCGATAGAAGCTAACCAGCCAAATAAATAAGTTCTCAATTTCTTATAGCATAAACAAAATATTAAATTACTTCCTTTCCCTTTTCTTGCTAAGCTCAGAGCTCAAAATTCTATATGGTCAAACGATGATCAGATTGAGCAAACGAGAATTTCAGAACTGAGACTACAGTAACCTCAAAAATGTAACATTTTCCAGAAACAACATTACGGGTTTCGCGAAGAAAAATTTCGGTGGAGTGCTACGACAAGCGGGCTTTTCCTCTTCTGACAACGGAGCTTCAACATCTCAACAAGCGGAGGAACGTGGAAGAAACATCAATAGAACGACGGACCACGTTCGGCTGACATCGGAAGAGGCAAGAACATCGCCGTTGGTGGCTTGTGAAGCTCGCGAGGACGGTATCTATACGGATGAGAATGACTGTGGATCCCCATTTGAGGTTGTGTCAAAGGAAGATATTGAAAAGCTGAGCAACATCGTAGAGAAAAAGGAGGAGGTTGATCAGAAGAAGAAAAAGAAGAGCCGCCGGGAGTTGAACATCCCACAACGTGACATGTTTGCTCCAGATTTCAAACTCATGCCAGACGAAGACCTCCCAGGATTCTCTCCAATTGACAGCGAGTGGAGTTCCAGCGAGGATGAGTCTTTGGAGGCCGAGCGTATCTCGATCAGCCGTGAATTCCCAGCTTATGTAAACCAACATCAGCCACCACCATTAAAACCATTGACACCACAAATCTGCGGATTGAATCCAGACATTCCAAACGAGTATGACCCGGTGATTGGAATTATCTCGATTCAAGGCGTTCGCATTCCACGCAGCAAGCCAATTGACATCGTCAAACCAAGCGAGCCACGCGCTCCTTTTTTTGGCGCAAATTCTGAACTACACGTCATGCTGATAGTGGAGCGGTTAGTCTTGCCTTGTTTAAACAGAAGCTAGTGATCCGCCGAACTTCAATTTTCTTGCCAAGGCAACTGCAATGGTTTCCCACGATTATTGTGGTCTAGAAACAAACAGTTGGAGCAAGAAAATAACTGAAATAAGCATTTTTCTGTCCCGCGCATCCCTTTGTTCCAATATTCAAACCAGTAGAAAGATTATTGAGCAATGCGCATGTGCGGGACAGATTGAATAGCTGACATATCGACCCAGGGGCTCATCAGAACATACATGAAGTGTGGATTAATTGAATTGGTTCAATACGTTCACACACTAAAATTATATGCTAAAAACTGAATTTCCAGAATGTACGACGTCTTCAAAGAACGGATTCGTAACCACGGAAAAGTCATGGCGCTCTCGTTGTTGGCTCAAGTGGCCGATATGTTCACCGCCGGACACATGTGCGGACGCTTTGTTCCAGTTGAGTTGGCTGATGGAAGCATCTTTTTCTACGACTACGAGACCGTCAGCTTCATCACCAAGCCAGAACTTATCGATTTGTTGTCGTGTTGCGAGGAGAAACACGAAGACTTCTCAATTGCCGCTTCGGTTCCAGCCATGTTCTTCCGTGAAACCAAAGAAGGAGTGTTGCGTCGCAGCAAGGAGTACAACGACCTCATGGACCGCAAGAAGATCTATCTCCGTCGTAAGGATTATATGAAGAATGGCGTCATCGATCTCGATTTTGACATTCAAGAGTTTCCATTGTCGGAGATAACTGTAGAACAGAAACAGGTATGATTTGTGGTCAAGAAAATAAGTAACTATAAATAAGCTTTTCAGATTATTGAGAACAAACTCGGAAAAGTGTTTGTGGACCATGAAGAAATGGAGAAGCTCTTCCGAAACATCAGCCAAGATATTGAAGATGCCGAACGCTTCCAAGGTCACTCCTACGTCCGTCGCAGCACTCTCGCCATGTTCGACGCTCGCGTCAGAATCCCCTCTGTAGTCAATTAACCACCTTCCTTTTTTTTCTTTTTCATTTTTATCCACCGAGCTTCTCCTTCTTCTCTTTCACTTCTCATTTGTTTTTCCCCGTCTATCCTTCTTCTGCTTCTAGTTTGTGGTCGACGGTTTCGCATCTCATTTACCATCTTTTTTCAGTCAGCGCTTGCGCTCTCATAGCATACCCCCGTGCTTCCGTCCCCATGAAAAGCGACTCTGGTAGTTTATTTGAAACAAAAATATTCAAAAAATATTTCGCAAAAAAAAACATTTTTTAGTTGCCTTCCCCTTTACTCGTTTTCATTTCTCTTTTTTCCCTAAAATTGAGTAACCAGGTCATGAAAATGACAATTCTCTCTCATCCCACTACCCCCTTTTTCGGAGATCTCTTGTCATTTTTCAGTTTCTTTGAAAGTATCCTGACTGAATTTCAGCACTCACCCGTTCATCTGAAATTTCAGTCTCTTCTCATCCCAGTCTTTGGTTAAGGCTTTACCCAGTTCATGCTGAAATCAGCACACCAATTTAGTCACTTCCATTCTCTTCTCTGTTTCCCAATGAAAATCTCTTTTCCTATCTAGTTAGATTCTTCCCCCTCTTTCTCCTCAAAATCTCAGTATTTTTGTCACCTGTCACTACCAACCCAGTATTATTTGTGTCCTTTTTCCCTAATTCCCCAAGTGATCCGGGGAGAGAAACTTTTAAAAAAATTTAAAAAAAAACAACAACAACAAAAATCTTGGTTTCTCTTTTCCAATCATCCCTCTTCCCCATTTTTCCCGATTTCCTGATACCCGTTTTAATGATCAATGTCAGCTGTGCTGTCTCTTAACCTATTCTCCTCTCATAATCTATTCTTCCCACCTTATCTCCAATATATTGCGAAATGCGACATGATAGCTGTGGATAGAAATTTTTGCTCAAGGCCAATAGTGCCAAAATGGGTGAGTAAAGGCCAAAAAAATACTAAGCTATTTTTAACCAAATCTGTATTTTTTTTTCAATTTTTAATCTTTTCCATTTTCAGGTGTCATCGCAGCCATCCAACAGTTTCTATCCGCTGCCACGTCGCAAAGCATCAGTCTTAATCATTTCTGATAATCTTTTTTCTACAGTATCCTTTTTCCACCACACAAAAAAACGTTTGCTCGCTTATCATTTAGTGTTCCTTTTTGCTTCTGTGCTCCAATGTTTGTGATTTCCTTAAGTAATCATCTGTTGGTTTTTCTTTTTTCTTTTTGTAATTGCTTGGATAAAATTAGTCAAAAAAAAAAAGTTGAATTTTCAGCAGAAATATTTGTCAAAATTTGAATTTCAGGCTTTAGCAAAAGTGCCACACACCGTAAAACAACTATCTAGATTTCTACGAGCGATATCAGAAATCAGAAAATTGAAATAAAAATGTTCAGCGTAAAATGCAAAATTTAGATGTCTTTGATAGAAACTGAGATACATCATGTCAACGTGGCGCTTTATTAGAGCAGAGCAGGTTACAGTAATCCACCGAGTTCCGTTTGGCGCCTTATTATAGCATGTACAGTAATCCATCAACCATATGAACCTCTAATTTTCAGCCCTATCTTTTTTTGACTTTTGGATAAGTTCTGAGTCACAATTTGAAAAACAGGAAGTTATTAGATAATGGATCAAAAGAATACAATCAGTTTGGATCAGAAGGATACAATTATCATAAGAAATTGATCAATTTACTCAGAAACTTGGTTGAATATCAGACTACAATTTTTTTCAGCTCATGTGACTTTTGGGAAAAAGAAAAGACAGAATTTTTTTTTGTTATGAATAACAATTCGCCAGTTCCGGGTTCTGGAATTTTCGGTTCGTTTTATAATTTGATTTCATTTTATCTATTTTTTGAATTGTTGAACACAAGATTTCAGATTTCGATTCAAGACTTATTTTTCATTTGAAACTGGCATACTGCTTGAGTTATTTTGAGTTTATTTCGCTAAATTTCACAAGTGCACGTTGTCATAAAATTTAAAAGCTTTGGATGAGAACTGTATTTGAGAAAAAAAAAATCAAAATTTCCGTTTTGCAAAGTGATGATGATGACGGAAAGCGAGCAAGCTAGTGAAGCGAATCCTTTCACGTTTCGTTCTCACGCTCGTCCAAGTCCCCCATCTACTTCGTGTCGCTTAGCAACTTATTTTTCCTTCTTTTGGTCGAAAATTGCATATTGCTCTACTTCTCTTTGGCTTCAACCAAACACGCTCCGAATCGATGAAAACGAGAAAGAGAAGGAAGCCTGTGGTTGGAGCACAACCAGTTGGCTATTCGGCAGTATTTTCTTTTCCATTTTTCATAACACTCATATCAACACCTTCTAGTTTTCTTTTTCCAGCCTATTTTTTTCTATGTCTTCTTCTTCACCCAACAAAAAAATACCACTGTTTTTTCAGCAGCTTCCCTTTCTGACGTTCGTTTTTTTTCTCATTTCCGCTTATTAGGAAATCGAATGTTCGGTTCATTTCCTTAATTGGGGAATTATGCATGGGAGGAGTTCAGTTCTATTTATATTTTCACTTTTCTTCTATCAACAGAATAACAACGTGCACGGCAAGAAAGCGCAAGGGATCTTGAGTTCAAAAAGGGTGAGTTTGATAATTGGATTTTTTGTAGTTCGAATTCTACTCATTATATTATTTCCAGGATTTCGTTTATTTGGACCGGTTTTGCTTTCAATCCGAGACTGGCGCGCTGGAATACACTTTCAAATATCCTTTGGTAATAATAATTATATCAGAGTCTTATCAGACACGTCACCTCTTTTTCTTTTTTCCAGTTCTACCCCACACAAATGCTTTTATTATATTTTGATTCCGACGAGCAGTGGCCGCGAGCATGGCGTGAATTGTCGGTGAGAAGGGATTCTTTTGAGGGAAACCTTCAAAAGAGAAATTTTAAATTTTTAGACATGTGAGGATCGCGTGACACTTTTGACCAACCACTCGGATAACCATCAGATTGTGAGATCTTTTGCACTACTAGACTGAAAAAGCAATGTGAATTTTCAGATTTTCCTCAACCCATATGTCCCAGATAGCGTCGGAAATGGGCGATGTGTGATAGTGCAGGATGCGTTGAAAGAGAATTGGATCTCGTGCTCCGGAACTCGCATTTTCCGGTTTGCGAATCAATTTTAAAATGTATTTACTTTCTAATTGTTTTTCTAGATCTGCAAGAAGTCGCTGGTGGTTCTTAGCTCTTGCGAATTGTGACCCAAATGAAGATGAGGAACGAAGGATGTACAATAATGAATCAATTGGAATATATGCTGAGTTTGCGCTTACGATGACAAACGGATTGCCTTCAGAGATTCTGAAATATCAATTTTCTATTGACGAATGGCGTAAGGCTGATCTTCAGTGAAATGTTTCAGAATGACAACTTGTTACAGTAATCCTACCATCTGATACCTTCTTCTTTGCTCTACAAATGATTTTGATTGTTATTGTGATGTTTATAGGAAGTGAGTTTCCAAATTTTCATTTGAAAAGAAAAATAATTCCCATTCCTTAGAAAGCCTATCCACCCGTCGTCTATATCACAACATTTATCGCATGTGCGCTCATTCCATAATCGGGAACACAATTGGATTAGCTTTCTTGGTCACCAACTATGTCATTTACGCAATGGACGGAATCGGACTACCGATTATACTCGCGTTCGGGGAGTTTATACGGTGAGGAGTGGGAAGAATGGGTATTTATGATAACGATCTGGTTAATTGGTTCTGTTTGCAGCGCGCTGGCTGACATGCTTTTTATGTACATGTGTCTTGTACTTGCGCGTGGATTGAACGTCACCAAGATGCGATTGACTACGGTAATTGATTTTGATTCTCTATTTAAGGGGCCAATTGATTTTTCCTTTGTTTTTCTCAGTTCGACAAATTCTTCCTGGTTATTATGTTCTTTGTATTCATCTTATCGTACCTAGCAATGCAGTTCTGGGAAATTAAGGTATGTTTGCAACCATTTTTTAAAGTAAATGCCAGCTGAAAAGTTAGTCTAATTGTTGACTGGGGTAGGGGAAATTAATTGGTGTTGTTCGTTTTCTAATAATCGGTTAGGGTTGTCATTTCTGAAAACCAAAAACTTTGGTTTGGAAAAATAGACAACACAGGTTCTGTAAAATTTCACGAAAAACTCATTTCAAAGTTTTCAAACACACATAAAAATTACATTTAGCTTGAAAAAAGTTAGTTTACCACAACTTCGGTTTTCCAGTACTTTGATCCAGCTATGGTATTTGCGAAATCCGAATCCCTACCAGGATACTTGTTAGCTCTCTGGCGTCTCACCGCGTGGGTCTTCTTTGTGATAGCCTGCCAGTTATCCAAAAATGACTCTCCAACAAAAGCGGCATTTTTCACTAGTTTCGCATTATTGATGACACCATGGTGAGTTCTAGTAAACATTTTGGGTATTTTTATATTATTCATGTTGTCAGGTTCTGGGCCCCACCGATCTTTGTAATCGTCGCGAACTTCTTTCTCAACAACTGGGTGCGAGCGGAAGTGGTGAACATTGTGGAAAATTGCGTCACCTTCTACGGATATATTGTTTTCCTGGTAGGCGGTTTTCAGATTTTTGATATACGCGTTTTTTTTGTTTTTCAGTATTTGTCACGTCCGTCTGATAACAATCAGAATTTTCCATTCCATATCAGAACTACACAGGTTGATGTTGACACTGGATTTGATCCACAAACCGCATATGTATGTTTTTTACTGAAAACTGGCCAAGGGGAATATTGAAAAATATGAAAAAATAAAATAAAATATGAAAATAAAATTTTAGGCTCAAAACACTGCAGAAACTAACACCAATGATGGAATGCATGGAGTTATAGAGATGACCGTTCGGAACAAAGGTGGTGTACATGCCGCAAGCGAAGAAGTGGATCGTGGAATCATCGAAAGGCCGCAAATCAGTTCTAGTTAATTTTTCAAGACAAAACATTATGGTATTCATTTTCTCAAACGTGGTACATCCTCAATCAATTTCTCGAACATACATTGCTATGATCTAAATATACCGTTAACACTATAATAGAACGCTACCCGGACCGTTCACTTTGAGCTTATATATCTCACTTCTTTTGAATGATATACAAAAGTTTTCAACTCGTAAAATGTTCATCATGATATCAGCAACATTTTACTAGTTTACCACTTTTTGATATCTCTCACAGAACATGAGATAAATGGGCTCGAATTTGACGACTCGGGTAGCGTTCTATTAAAGTGTTTAAGGTATCTTCAGAGACATTATTTAACTAAAAGACTTGATATCAAACTTAGTTTTTTGTAAACCATTGATTTAGAGAAAAATAAAATTTGTCGAAATGTGATAAAAAGAAATGTGCTGCAAAAAACAAAAAAAAATTGGAAACAAGACTCGAAAAGTTGATGTGAGAGTTATGGTCGGATCGTACAAAATTTATTGTTTGGATTCTGGTTTAAAAAAGGTGGAAAACTAAAAAAGATAATAGCAGTCTGTTAAAGCATACCTCAACTAGACGTTTATAGCTCTGATTTTCCGGATTGATGTCGATGGTTCCTGAAGCGATCACTGTTGCTTTCGGATGAACAGAGTGGCCACGTGGCATCGGCAATTAGCAACTCTTCAACTCTTTTTGCAATATGGCGATTTCATTTTCCGCTTGCTCTGGGCTTGCTTTGATTTTGCGAAGAGCTGACATGTATGATTGGATTTTGTTTTGCTTCACGACATAAAGTGAGATTTTCGGAAAGGAAAATGATAAAAGAAAGAAATTTCCATCACTTGAAGCTATGTTGAAAATAAAGTACTCACCTTCGACTGATACAGCTTTCGACATCTCGTAAAAGGCCAGAAAATCTTTCAAATTAACATCGTGATGAATGACTTTGGACTCCATTCCTGTCATTCCTCTTCCTACGTGTTATCGTAAACGTTGAGTTTGTTGATATCCGGTGCTTCAGGAATCTGTCTTGTCACGCTGATTTGGTAGTCTCGCATTAAACTGCACAGCTTCTTGACAGTGAATGCGTCTTTATCGATACCAAGTACATCGGCAATTCCTTCAATAAGGCATATGACACTCATCTCGACGACTGCTTGCAACTCTTGAAACGGCTCGTTTTCCTGCTCCGTCATCTTGTGAAGTCGGACGGGCAGTTATTTTTTTTCGGAGTTTTCTCTTGTTCGTCCTCAGATCATTTCGAATATTCGTTAGCGAAAAATTTGAGCTAGAAGTGTGTCCCCTCTCTTAGTCTCTTGCCCGTAAACACCAACACGAGCAAATGCAGATACGGCGACAAATGCGCGGACAGACACTACCCAAACACACAGACATACGAGTATCGACTTGAAGGAAAAAAGGTGAATCTGAAGACATTGGAATCTTGGAAGAGCGAAAATTGGTAGAAATATGAAGCTTGAATTTGGAAAAATGAGGATATATGAGAAAAAAATGAACCTATTTCATTCTTAATTTCAACTTCCAATCTGTTCCTTATCAATTTGCAGGCCTTGCGTTTCTACACTTTTCCACATAACGATACCGTGTCGCCCTTAAATCTGAATAAGTTGATAACAGGAAAAATGAGAAAAATTGATACCGGGCAACACTGAATTTTCAAAAACAAAACAGAATTAACACGATTGTTCGAAATCTCACTTTCATAATGCAGAAACCTTCTCAAAGATATCAAAAATTGTATTTCAAAGCTATTTTACCAATTTCCAACAAAATAATTATAACATTGGGACCGTTCTCGGGACATTGGGACCGTTATCGGAGCAATGGGACCGTTGTCGCAATTCATGTGACTAGTGGTCCAATGATGGAACCGGCGGTCCGTTGATGGGACCGGCGGTACGGTTTAGGGACCGTTCTTCCCGGAAAGTACCGAAACTTGTAACTAGGCGTCATGTTGTATTCTTCATCAAATAGCCTTCCCATAATTTTCCTATCATTATCAGTTTTTTTTCAGAATTCATAAAAGTGAAGGGCGGAGTGCTATTATTAAACTCACGTTTTTTTTATTAAACTCACGTACCTTGTTTACTCTAATTGAAGCCCACCTCTAATAGGAGCCCACATGCGCGAGGTGCTTCGAAAAAGAGAAGCCCATGGGCTTCTATTAGACAAAATACGGTAATTCAAAATTTTAGAATTCTGGGAACTTGACAATTTCTCAATTTTTGGATTTTCTAATTTCTACATTTCGGAAATTCAGGTTTTTAGATTTTTATATTTTCCGGATTTTCAGAATTCCTGAATTATAAATTCTGAGATCCTGGAACCTCAGAAAATCATAAACTCGGTTTATTGGGATTTAGAATTGCAGAATGAGAATTTCGAATTTTTCAGAACACCGAGTTCCAGATTTCTTCCATACTTCCGAATTGACAAATTTCTGAATTTTTGAATTAACTTTTTTTTTGAAAATGAATCATTGCGAAGTAGAAGCCCACTCTTTAATTGAAGCCCACCTCTCATAGAAGCACACCTTGAGAAAAAGGTTGAAAAATAAAAGCCCATGGGCTTCTATTAGAGGAAATACTGTAAGTGATAAGGTGTCTAGAAAGCCAGGTTGATTGCCGCGTAGGTCAACCGAGACAAAAAATTGGAGATAACAATATTCGGGTGTCCCATCACCTTTGAACATATTTATACTTGAAAAACGAATGTCAAGAAAAGAATAACCATAAATGTCAATCAAAGCTTGATGTTCTTTTTGTACTGGAAGATTTATGACTTTCCTCTGACGAGTTTTGCTTAGACACCTACCTTTCCTTTGGCTCCACTAGGTTTTTGAGCTTTTCACCAGGTAGTCAAAGATTTCCCTTTATCATAAATCTTCTTTTCAATATCTCATCACTCTTCATATTTTATATTTCTTCTCGAGCAAAAACACAAAAAAGAAGTATGAAAATCTGATCGTAGTAATATTTCAAACATTGCTGCTCAAAAATATCGGAAAAAATCTATGAGATATTTATCGATCTTCCAATCGTTTTTCATTTTTTTTCCTCTTTTTTTTGTCATGGGGAGGGTGTAGATAATCCATGAAATAGAAGAAAAATGACTTCCGAACAATTTCTGTTGCTGGAAGAGAATACGCTCACGCTCCCAGACGTCCATTTCTCCACCGAAATCCCCACTTTTTGTCAATCTGGGAACCCGCAAAATTTAGCGCTCGCTTGTTAATTGACCGACCTACATCCCAATTTTCCTCCTCTCTCTTTTAGAAATCCTCGGTTTTCTGTTTCAAGACAACGACTACACCGATACGGTGTGTTTCTCAGTCCTATTGTCCCGGATGGATTGCGCTTCATTCACAAGTGCATAAGAATAGTAAATTATTGTCGCCGTCGTCTTCGGGTGTTGGTGTCCTTCTCCTCCTGTTTGCAACAATCCCATCCTGAAGAAGTGGACGAGAAGAAGTTGAATGGAAACAAGTGGTGGCATCTCCATTTTCCGGATGCATTTCGTATGCATTAATGTCCTTGCTCCTCTTCAGTTGAACTCTTTTTCCCATTCTGTTTTTCTCAGACGGGGAGGCCAATTTATCGGTTTCACTTGTTCTAAATTACTTAAATTGAACTATCTTAAAATATTACTTCAACCACGTTAAATAGGATAACTGTATTTTCAAAGTCATAGAGCTGCCAAAAGCAAGAGTTAAAACTCACTGTAAAAAAATTAAAAACCAAAAAAGCTGAGGTGAAATTTGTAGATTAAGATATTTTTCTGATGTTGAATCGACTTGATAACTTTGTCGGTCAATGAAACAAATGCTTTGTTTTGTGAGAGCTAGAAATCTAGATCAAACATTTTTTACTTTAAGAAAAAACTGGAAAAATCGCCCAAACTGGCCCAAAACATGCCCTGGAATGAATATTTTTGACCAACTAAATTAGATATGATAGAACTCGATGAGCACTACAAAATACTACGAAATGACACTTTATGGGACATTGTATCACGTCTGTGAACAAAGTTACAAGCCAGCCGAAAAAACCGCCAGGACCCGGCCCGGCCCGGATTTAAGGCTTTTTGACTTGTAACTTTGTTCACAGGCATGATACAGTGTCCCATATAGTATTATGTTGTAGTGCTCGTCGAATTCTATGATATGTGATGTGATGTAGTTGATCAAAAAATATTGATCTTAAAAAAACTATGACAGGGCCCGTTTGCAAGTATGAAAATACCATTTACCAGTTTCCTGTGGAATGCCACACAAACAAAGGTGACAGATTAACAAATGGCAACACTAGTGAGTGTCTTACGCCTATCGCGCACCAACTAATGACTATGCAAACGTTCCACGATCTAATCCGCAATGTTAACATAACATTTGTATCATTTACTGTAGTAGCTTCCGGAAAACCTCTGGATTTTTTTTTGGCACTCTAAAAGGGCTAATAATGCTATCTTTTGAATTCTATAGTGTTCTATTCGTTTTCTAAATAAACTATCGTCTTCTTTCTTGCGCCCCTTGAAATCATCGTTCCACACCCGTTTATTCGAATTGTCAGTTTGACAGACAGGCAAAACGAGGGCACAAAAAAACGAAATCAAAGAAGAGTGAATGTGTCGGTGTCGACACATGGATCTCTCTCCTCCCGTTTTTCTCGAAATTTCATTTTAAATTGGCCGTGATTTAACCGTAATCCACACATACAGCTTTTGTTGTAGAACGACAATTAAATATGCTTGTGAGGTCGGATCTCGTCATTTTTTCTAGTGATTTTCTTGTTGTCGGTAAACCACCACGCGGATTTGTTATTTCAATGGTCCCTTGATTGGATCTAATCCCTTCCTTACGAAAACCTCTCCTTTCACCTTATGTTTATCCCCAACGGGAATCTTTTTGTGGACCTTTCTTGCCGAAAATACCCCCGAACCCTCTAATCATGGGTCATATTCTTGTGTTCATTTTGTTTCTCTTCATGTTCCATCTCACCTCTCCCCGTTGTTCCGTTTTCATATATTTTTAGGGGTGATTTTCGGCTCGTATTTCGTGTGCCCTCCTCTCATCCTTACTCTATCTTTAGTTTCCCATAGCCATTAAACCTTGATTAATTACCTTGTTCGCCACCTCCTTCGCCTTGTTTTCCCTCTCCAACACCTCCAAGGAACGTGTTGTTTATGGGAGGTCAGGTAAATAAATGAACAGGTGATAACTGAGAGGTTCCCATGGACCTCATTAATTGATAAAGTCGTGTGGCTGTATTACGGAACAGATTGGATAACGTGTTGGGTTTTCTGCAATCTCCCTGGTTTCCTACTGATCAGAAAAACATTTTGCACAAACCCATTGTTTTGTTGCTTCTGTTTATTTCCTATTTTCTGTATTGGGCTACTGTTTTCCACAATCTTGCAAACTGCGATTTTTCTTATCAATCTATCCCATCATCCGTTTAAAATTCCTGGTATAAAAGCCTGTCCATACAACAATGAAGACATCATTCTTGCTCCCTTTTCATCCTAAACCACTTGATCAAGAAACATAAAAGGAACCTCAACGGCAGCTGCAAACGACTTTCGACCCATATGAAAATGAGAAGCGATATTCGTTTCCTATCGTTTCCTTCTTATGGACTATTGAACAACAATTATGGAGAGGGCTCTTTCTTTGGCTCTGAGACAGTGTGAAAGACTGCCGAAATCTATACGCGGAGCCACTTATCACATTGCTCGAAATAATGTTTGCTCCAAGCCGGTAGATCTGTGAAGACGCACTCTTGCCGGAGGCTGAGTGATAACACAGGTGGGAAATTTCGCACCGAAACCATTTTGGTCATCCGTTTTGTACTCAATTTAGGTATTATAGAATATTTGTTGTGCGGTAGTTTGAAAAATGTAACTTTTTTTCAGCTATTTGTTAGGATTACTGTATTTATTGTGCTTTCAGGCTATTAGGTGAAGATACGAAGCCCGCTTGAACTAGGTTTGAGATTTCTTGAAGTTTTGCTATCATTTTTGTTTTGTCCTCTGGGTCCGGCATACTGTAGCCAAGAGTAGAAGGATACAAATAGAGAAAGTCAGGAGATCCATATTTTCCAAATTGTGATTTTTAGTAACACAGTGCACACTGGCTTCAGCATTCAAACTTCGTTAATATTTTGGATTACTGTACCTA